CCTTGTGAAAAATTTTTAATCTTATAAATATCTTTCTATATATAACTGTCAATATTTTTCATTGACATGACCAAAATTTCTGTTTTGCTGGGGTTTTCTAAACAGAATATATATTACATGAGAACTGCAATAAGACAAATACACTGTACAACTTATACAGGAAGTATCATAGTACAATGTTAATGCTGTTTGCCAGACTTATAAAAAATTAAATTTTGTACAGGTACATTTATTTCATGAGAACTTTGTCATGTAAGATAGTATAAGGAGCAGGACTAAAAATAAACTGTGAGTACAGAGCAATGTATTTTAATTAATGTAGTAATTTTATTAAAGTGTATATTCTATATAAGGCATTAAGTATTAATATTGCTTTTGTTTGCATAGAAATAATGTTCTAAAAAGTAAAACACCTGAGAGTTTAAAATTGCAGTAGAATTATAAGACAAAGCTCTAGTAAATGTCATAATTTTTCTAGCACTCCTCAGGATAACAGCCACAAACTTCTGGCTAGGAAAACTGAGAAACACACCACCATATTTCTCCTGTATCGCAAATATACCAATGTAAAGTTAATACGTAAAAAACTCTGGCAATACATACCTCAAGGCTCAAACTAGCCATACCCGGTGTTCCAGTTTGCTGAGGAAAGAACTGAATGAAAATAAGAATAATTTTGAGTTTCATTGGTACAAAACTTCCTTCAATGTCCGTTGGGCATAGGATATTGCTCCAGTACATAAGGGCTACCTGAGGGGCCACCATTTTGGTTTATTATGCAAATAACTTGAGTGCTTGGGCAGAATGAAGAAGAGCATAAGTTATTTGGGAGAATCAACACAGTATTTGAAAATTTTGCTCCCACCTGCATCATCTATCCTTTGTCTGCATCTTAATGCTTCGTTGCTTTAAAAGCAAAATATGATTTAAAGTTACACACAAGGAGAAGTAGAATAAAGCAACAAAATAGAAAACTACTAGTACTTTATATTCTTAAAAAATTACCACAGAAAAAAGTAAAGGGGACAAACTCAAGCTGAATTTTCATGTGCTTTTGACAAATCTACATGATTTTGGTTTACCAGATGTGGCATGGGATCATGACATTCAGAAAAATCATATGCAAAATCTAACTTGACTCCCATTCAAAGGACTTCAGCAAATTCTCTATGATTTTTAGTGAAAGATTATTTTATGTATAAACCTACTATATTTTGGGATCATATCAAAGATTTTTTTTTTCCTTAAATAAAAAGCATTCTAGCACAAAATACTATTATACTTGACGTGTTCACTTAAAAGTTGTTCAAAAATATACCTATCTATACAATTAGTTTTTTAAAATGTAAGATATTTTCCTTTCCTTTTTTTTTTTTTTCCCCAAGACTAAGTTTCACTCTGTCACCCAGGCTGGAGTGCAGTAGTGTGATCTCGGCTCACTGCAACCTCTGCCTGCCGGGTCCAAGCGATCCTCCTCCCACGTAGCTGGGATTACAGGTGTGCACCACCAAGTCTGGCTAATTTTTGTATTTTTAGTAGAGACAGAGTTTCACCATGTTGGCCAGGCTGGTCTTGAACTCCTGAGCTCAAGTGATCCACCCACCTCGGCCTCCCAAAGTGCTGGGATTACAGACATGAGCCACTGCACCTGGCTTCCTTTTTTTAAAAAATAGAGATGGGGGTCTCACTATGTTGCCCAGGCTTGTCTTGAACTCCTGAGCTCAAGTAATCCTCCTGCCTTAGCCTCCCAAAGTGTTGGGATGATAGGCATGAGTCACCATGCCCAGCCTTTTCCATTTTTTTTTTTGTTGTTGTTAAAGATATTTTTCTTTCGAAACCAATCCTTATTACTTTACACAAATACCAGTAGAAAACATGGAGAATGGAAGAGTAGGAATTAGAGTAAATTGGATTTTGAGAGTCTCTGGTTCTTCGGATACTCTCACTTTCTAAGACCAAGGGGTTGTAATGCCATCTTTCCTTCAGTTATACCACAAGGATTTATGGAATGTTTACTAAACATATTGGTATTATTTTTCCTTTATGAGTAAGAAGTTAAAGAATTACACCCCCTGCTTTTTCACCTCCCACCTTTTTCATATAAGTAAAATCCCACCTTCTGGGTCA